TTTTCCCCCCCCCCCCCCCCCCCAAAAAATCACCCTTTGTACAAGCACAGGTACTACATGTTAGTTTGTTGGGACACATTTTTTCGGATGGGTCATCCTTATCAATGAATAAATGCCTCTTTCTATGACCCATTCTCCCACCCCCTGTCTATCTAACTCTCCCATTCCCTCTACCGATACTACGACTAGAAAAAACAGTTTTCAATTCACGAAAGCCAGTTAAGAATGGATATTGAATTGAATGATTTTTTTCACTGTTTTGATTGTAATTAAGGAAACGTATCGATTTTTTACGGAAGGTGTTGTTTTTAATTCGAAGATTACAGCGAGTAGATTAATTGAATGTCGATATTAGAATAATACTATCTTCTGCCTTTCTTTTATAAATGAAACGTCTTGGAGTTTAACGCCAGCTTTTCCTAGTGCCTGGTATTCTGCTTTTTCTCAACCTTTCATTCCAGTTGTCTGGGAGTTTTACGCCTGCTTCTTTTAGGCCCAATCTTTTCTGCTTCTATTATAGATCGAAAGCGGTTAAATGTAAGCTAATGCCACTGTCTTGAGAAAAATTTCCTCATTGCACACTGCATGGCTTTGTCTTCATTAGCCCATTAGGAGTAGGACGTAAAACTCCATTCATTTCTTTCATTCAAGGGTAACCGTTTGGGCATCCTAAGCTTTGACTCAATCACCCAAGTACCCTCACCCCCTCCACCCCCTTCGTGCCATCCTATAACTGAGGCAATAATGCCATATGGTAGACTACGACAGTCTGTGGACTGAATTCAGCCTCCCGTAGGCTATACGTGCCAATCTCCTTGAGGCCACGAACTGAACTCGATTCCCCTCGATGAATGCCTGTCCCACTTGAAGCCGATGGTAACCTATAATGAACCTAATGAAAATCTAAACCCCAAAGTACAGCATGAAACGTGTTTTAATGCACATAGAATTAAATCAATGCGAAGAACGGACTCACGAGAACTGCAGGAACCAACTCACAGGATTTCACCGTTTCCATGGTAACTATGACGTCAATCATGTCGTGCCAACCAGAGAAAATCAATTATCGAGGATTCCCATCTCGCGAGATTTTTTAAACACATAAATCATCGTCAAGCTTACTATTGTAGTAAAATCTAAATTTGGACATTTCCTTCGTATGACATTCGCTTTTAGAAAGCAGTTAAAATACGGCGGGTTCTCTGTGCCAAAAGCCATGTGTATAAATGTGGGCATAATATTCACTTGGGTAATGCAACTAAATTGTGTTGCAAAAATCATATGATGCATGTTGCCTATGAAAAAAGCTATTATTTTATTCAGTTCGTTAAAGATCCCTCGGCAATTAGAAAGCGAAACATACTAGGCTCAAATCCTAATTCCATGATGTATCAAGTCTTCAATGGACCAAAAAAATATCACAAAATTCTGAAATTGCAGAACTATTACGGGACTTGTGACGTCACTGAGCCTCAAATAGTTATTGTTGACAGTTATCACCTAGTTGGCTCTAATTTAACCTCTAATAAATATTGTAAAACATCATTCAGCTAACAAATTACACAGCCAGTGCTTACGGCTATTCCACAAAGCGCTATGCCGATAGCCACATGTAAGATGAACCCTTTTTTTAAGGTGAAATGTAATTTTGCTATAAAGTTTTAAGCAAACGACTTTATATTTCAATTCCTATTGAAAAATGGCAATTTCAACCTAAGAACTGGTTGAATCTTTCTTTTGATGGATTGCAAATTAGCTAAAACACGGGACCACTAATCAGCCACACTGGATGGAATCTAGCTTTGGAATAATGGCAAAAACGGCGTCTCATTTCAATTTGCACTATGCACAATTGCATCAATAGTTATAGGCCTACTTAGTTACACTTTTCCTGAGTCAAGCTTTCAAGATCTGTGTAAAGGGAGACAACTACATTAAATGACTACAGAATTTTGAAGCAAATTTTTAATATAAAATAAGGCACTTGTGAAGGCATGTAACTGAAATGCTCTAATAACATAATTTCACAGTTAAAAACAGCACTAACAATTCCTTTAAAACTGCTTAAAGGGATCAAGTCGTCAAAATATTTGTTTTACCAGTTGATATAACTCTATGGATAGCTAAAATTCAGCTCTATTAACTGGTTAGGCAAATATATGGATACCTATATCCCTTTTGTGCATAACTTTAAAATGTGTTGCAAATTCTAATTTTTAAAAAAAATCTTTCCTGACCTATACAATTCAGAAATTCTTATTTTGCACCAAATTTTCAAGATATCTTTGACCTTATTTGATCGTGAATTAAAATATAAGAAGCCTATATACAAGATATATAAAATAGAGGATGTTTGAACACATAGTGGTGGCACCTTTATAGTATCAACATACTCAATATAAAATAATATACAGTTATATAATGTCTAGATACCAGTACATCATTACAGTATACAACAATAGAAGTTCTCATATTTCTATGATGGCATTAGACATAGGCAGTGTTTACATATACAAATATAATTCTAGATACATCATTGAAACATTTGGCAGTGTTAGCATAATCAATGAAAAAATACAAATATAAGTCAAGATACACCATTGAAACATTTGGCAGTGTTAGCATTATCAATGAAAAAATACAAATATAAGTCAAGATACATCATTGAAACATTTGACTGTTAGCATACTCCATAAAATAACATACCAATAAAAGTTTTGATCCATTTCAGCAGTCATACAAGTCATAAGAGGAATTTAAAACTGCAGTATCAGCATTATACATAAAATAATATACATATAAAAGTCTAGACCATTTCAGCAGTACATCATACAGTTTATTACGCATAGGCAGTGTACACATCCTTAAAAATAAACATCTTCTATATATCAAAATATTACAAACTTCATCTAATACCTTGACATCATTAGGCACTTTTCTTGTAACAAAGAAGAATATAGGATAGTATCTTGGCAGTGTTAGTATGCTTAATAAAATAATTCAAATATATATATATATATACACATAAATGCATAATGGTATCAAAAACAAAACAAAAATAAAAATAAACAACCAAAATAATGAATGCTGTAAAAATTGATCTAGTGAAATAGAAGAAAAACAGAGAAAAAGATGAGATTAGTTCAAGATTTGGACAGAATGAGAGATACAGATCAAACGTGGAAGTCAAATAATATCAAAGGGAGACTAAAAACTTAGTGTTGAACGTCACTCATCGCAAAGGGCCTTATGTGATGCAAGCAAATTTTGCGATAAGTGACGTCATACAACACTTAGTTTTAGTGGAATTGCAGGAACCACAGACATCTGATTGAAAATTGTAATGGTGCGAGTTGTTGTTATCAGTGTCCCGGATACACATAAAAAAACATTAGAAAAACCTCTTTACAATCCCTTAAAGTTTTTTGAGATATATGCTTTATTTGGTTTTGATTTCAGTTGGAACTTTCTGAGAGCACCAATTTCAGTTTGGATTACCAATGCCAGGAAAGAAATATAAATGAGGCCAGCGTAAGGAACTGATATATTCAGACATCTGTGACATTTGATCCATGCTGGTATTCTGAGTTCTGGAAATCTTCCTGGATACAACAGAATTTACCTGAAATACAGTATCAATAGGTAAGTAGAGACTTCTCATTTTAAAAGAACTTAAAATGCAGATCTGTAACAGCCGTTTCTCGTTTTTTTTTTCCTGCAGTCAACTAAAAAAAATTCTGACAATTTCGTCATGGAAATAACGTGGGGTCACCTGTAAATACAACTTGTGTGAATATTTTTCAATGTTTAAAAATTTCAAGTTAAAAATAGGGCAGTGCAGAATTTACATTGAGAAATCTTGTCCAGTACTCGCAAGCACAGTCCGAGTAAATATGTCAAACAAGGGCAATGTATAATGTATACTTACTCTGTTAAACAATGTACAGATATCATCGTGTTTAGCATGCTTTATAAAAACTTTTACTATCGCTTCTATATACCAACTACCTCTCTCTCTATTTCTCCATGCATAGAAACCTTAAATAAATAAAATAAAATAAAATAAAATAAAATAAAATAAAATAAAATAAAATAAAATAAAATAAAATAAAATAAAATAAATAAATAAAAAAATAATTAATTAAATAAATAAATTGATAAATTAATAATTAAATTAATAATTAAATTAATAAATGAATAATTTAATTAATAAATAAAAGAAATTAAATAAATTAAATTAATTTCAACCCTGACATTTAGAGATATTTACTCAGTTATTCCAACACTTACCAGCCTGTGTAGGGTAGCCTATGATCATATCAGAGAGAGTTGGTAACTGTTTTATCATGGGTATAGCCGGACCACCATCTGTTTCATCTATAGATACACCTCGATCAAACGATCCTGAAATATTCAATTTTCAACCCTGCACTGATATGAGGGAAATTTTTCAGGACAGCAATTTTTAACAGCCTGTAGCACCCTGGTTTATATTTTTCCCAAGTCTGCCCCTACTCCAAAAGTTTTACCTGGACCTTAAACAGGGTCAATTTGAATCCTTACCCTGACTCACAAAGCCACTGACAATCCTTACAAAACATTCAAAACTTACCTCCACGACAAGCTTGTACTATAAAAATCTTCGGCTTGCCTTTTAACAATGGACATTTATTATTATTAAAAAGATCAAATATCTGGTTTAAAGCTAGCATCTCCCCGTCAGTTCCGTAGATATAGCCCTCTTCACCATGGCTCAACAGACAAATAAAACAGGCATCACTATTCTCATGGTCTTTTAACTGAGAGAATTCTTCTACCTTCTCATATAATTCCTGTAAATAAAGGTACAGAGTTGTCTAAATATTTAATTTACCAGCTGAAAGAACTAAATCACCTGTATTCCTTTTCAGAATTGATTTCCCATCATGGCTTTTGCGCAGAGGTTCATTTAGCCCCTTAACACAACTGACTTAATATAAAAATAGGATAAAGTAAAGTAAAGTAAAGTAAAAGTTGGTTTATATGTGAGGATCCTACAGCTAGCATCCTTTTAGCCCTTATAGGAGTACAAGTATTGTGTTACCTTAGGTCCAAATCCATTCTTGGCAAATGTCAGAGTAAACTCTAGACCCCAGAAAGGGTTTGTGGATCTCTTTTGAACCTTACAGCCGCCCCCCACTTTGGATGTTATACATTACCTTGGCCGTCAATCCATTCTCGTCGTTGTAAAGTAAGACATTGAAATGAAGTTGTAAGAGAAGAAAATGTAGATTATCACGATCGATATCAGTTCCCTTCCGTGGTGTCTTCCCTTTAACTTCATTTACATTAATAATCAACGCTTTTCCACGCGGCATTCTTTTCATTGGATACGACTGAAAAATAATCAACCAATCATATTACACAATCGTTTTGTAGTTATAACGACATCACATGGAAAAGGTGGGACAATAAACTAACTGCTAAGATGAGAATGAGTGAGGCAACCCAGAAAAAAAGGAAACAAACTATATAAGGAGTATAAAAGGATATAAGGCCTACCTGTTCGAATGCAATAAGTATGAATGAGTGAAATAACCCACAGAAAATAAATGAAACAAATTGTATAAAACAGAAGAAACAAACCTGTTTATGTTCTGTGATGTAAAACTGTCGTGTACTAGGTTGAACTTTGGCTGTGACTTCGCCATCAGTAAGATCTATATCATTATCTATATAATTATCACGAACGCTAGCTTTAATACAGTCTTCTTCTTCTTTAACAACTACAAAATACCAGCATAGACTAGCAGGGGGTGGGACTGGGATATGTTTTTCAAAAATTTAAGTATACAGAATTTAATTGAGTTTTGTTGCCCAATCAGATTACTGTATTTCTTAACTTAAGATGATTTCAGTATTCTGATTGGTCAATCGCCTGAATTGATTTTAAATTTAGTTTTATTATCCAATCAGATTACTGAATTACAGCCTTTCTTAAAATTTAGAATTGATCTTTGTTAAATTTTCAAGAAACTAGGCACAGGATCCCCTTTTTCTCAAAAATGTTAAGAAAGATTCTAGAAAATGGGTACAATATTTACCAGAGTTGACAATCGTTGAAGAGTTCTGTCCCTTGTTGATATCGTTACCATTACTATCGCGACGTTTATATACATTGTGCATAGCATCTAAAAATAGAAATATTATCATTAAATTTGATTGACTTCTACCCTCATATGTCTCTATAGAGTCTCAAGTACCTGTGTTGGAAAGTTAACCCCTCCCTATTTTCAGTTCAAGGCAGCCACAAAATGGAATTTTTGCAAGAAAGCAGGTCATTAGCAACTGACGGCTGCTGCATATTTTCATTTGTTATTAAGCTTAAGTAGAATAAATCTAATAATTCATCAGATTCTCCACGATGTAATAAAAAAATTAATGTTCAGCCAGTCACAAGGTTGACCTCCCCCATTAATTTATCTTACCTATACTATCACAGCGCCCCAATCCAGCATGGGTGGGGGAGTGTGATTCTGAACATTGTTGATGATAATAATGATGATGATGCTCTGTGGCCGGTGTCGGAGGAACTGGAGTAAACTGTTGCCTAGACAAAAATTCTGGCTGGGGTTGTGATATGAAATGTTTTGAAGTGAAACGCATTTCTCCATCAGTGAACAGGGTCTTCTCTGGAAATTTGGGTTTCTCCGAACACTGGACTGATCTTAACTCGGACAGAAATTTCACCACCAATTCGCCATCTTTTGTGTTTTTAATTGACAAACATTCTGGAGAAGGGGATCGTTTCCGTTTTTTCCCATTCTCTTCATTGTTTGTCTCTGGTTTGGCAGTTTGTAATTCTGATTTAAGAAACTCTTCGACTATGTGTTCTTGGTCGTCTGCTATCAGAGCTTCACAAAATTTGTTGAAAGCTTCGGGACCTCGAGTTGGTAGAATATCTAACAATTCTTCAATCTGTTCATCTGGTGTTCTTCCATTCTGAAACGAAACAAAATAATTTTTTCAACATCTTACTGCGCTGTCCCTCGCTGGCCTGATAGATACTGACAATGCCATGCAGTGTGCATTGAGAGATTTTATCATGACAGTGACTATTGGCATTAGCATACTCTTTTTTTGATTTCCAACTGTCAGGGATCTCTAACGTGCACAGCCTGTAAAACACTGCGCCTTAAGTTATAGCCCAATCTGAACAACTAGACACTTTTTTCCAAGTCAACTATCAGATCTGCATGACAGGTAAAAAAAAAAAGACAGCTTCTCTCTTTTTCATGATCATAAGGGTCTACCCTTAAGTTAGAGCAATACTAGGCCTACTTCAAGCATGATCATTCCTCAGTCTTACCTTAATAGTTCTAACTGTACGTTGATTGAATATTTTCCGTGAAATCAGCTGGGTGTATAAACCATCGCGTATGTTCACATTTTCTACAAGTTGACATCTTTTAACAATCAACAAATCTTTATGTTTTTTCTCCATTATTTACTAACTCCATCTACATATCCAACATGATTATTGGCTTTTCCTGCAATCAAAATTATTCAAAATTAAACACAAGCTACATATTCAGAATGACAAGATTATATTTTACACCAGTCTGAATGATATGTTCATTTTACATTAAACCCCAACATAAGTCAAGTTTTTCGACCAAAGTCAGAAAACATATCCGTCTGAATTTAATCATGAAAAATGGACACAGACCAGAGTTCTACCAGCTTTTACAGAAATATTTAGTTAACTAAGTTGCCTAGAGAGCAGGAAAGGTCTAATATAGAAGACATAGGCTTAGTAACTGGGCTTTAACTTGGCCTCTTTAAAACAGAACTTGATTACGTCCCTTTAAAATGGCCCCTAATTTTTAAAGGGTAAAAAAGTGATATTTCAACAAATTCAAGCAAAATATTGGATATACAGTCCTGTTAATAAGAAATCAAGGTAGACACTTACTAAATCGACATAATTGCATCAAAATCAAACCATATTTTAGGCTTTTTGTTGTATTTTGGTTAGTTTCATCCTTTCTTCCCGCTATTGATTTAGTCTCGATTATCAAAATATCAACCACAGTGAAAGAAACAGACTTGTTGTTCGAGAATACAGGAAGGATGATGTCATCTTTATCCGTTGCTGATAAATTTATATGTCTTATTTCGTAATAGTCTAAAAAGGGAATTTAAATAAGGGTCGTGTTTATTCATCCATAACACTATGAGCGACTGCATTCTTTTTTCATGAATGGGTTCACCGAAACATTATGCAAAATGTGGCGTTGGGTGTTTTAGCCATTTTTCACAGAAAGAGTATGCGCCTTTTTTGAGCGCATTGGGCCGCATTAGGGTGGGTAATGGGTACATTTTTCCCAGTTATGATGTGGTTACTAAGCAACTGTATGAGTCGCGGCTATCTGAAATATATTGCAAAAAAAAAAGTGAACTTATTTTGAAGTAAATATTCGAAAATTTGGAAAAAAATTATTGACGACAATATGTCGCGAAGGCAAAAAAGAGAAAATATCTTTTGAATTCAAGTTAAAGAATGATATGTAATGATATCAACTAAACTATGCCAAAACTCCATTTTATTCATGCCTTTGCTTGGCCAACAGGTGCCCGTTCAAATCTGAAAATTTTAGATCTAGTAAATTGTCGATAATCAAATTTGTCCATTAGGCGTGAAAAATAAATGTCATTTTGCCGAATTATTGCAAATCGGTTCACAGTTTGCTTAAATTTTGTTAACAACGGATCTCTTGACAGCTGTAAATTGTAAAAAAAAAAGAATACGCCTGGGTTATTTTCAGTCTGGATATTCTCGTCTACAGTAAATCAGCCGCAGAGAAAGACGCCATTTTGTTGTGGAAACGGTAGATTCTATACTTTTAGACAATTTTACCTCAATTTTTACCATAATTTCGTGTACTCTTTTGAAGTTTTAACCTACAAAGATGCCAGACAAGTCTAAAGAAACCGAAGACGCTGTCCAAAGAGCTAAATTAGCCGAACAAGCCGAAAGGTATGACGACATGGCCAAATTCATGAAGAAAGTCGCGGTTGCAGAGGGACAACTGTCAAACGATCGAAGAAATTTGTTATCTGTAGCTTACAAGAATGTAGTAGGAGCTCGAAGATCATCTTGGAGAGTCATTTGCATGATTGAAAACAAAGCTGAGACGGACAGCCGTAAAAAAATTGCAACAGAATTCCGCAAAACCGTCGAGGAAGAGTTGGACAAAACCTGCAAAGAAGTTCTTGATTTATTAGACAAGGAACTGATTCCTAATCTAGATGGAACTGATTTTGATGCAAAGGTATTTTATTTGAAAATGAAGGGAGATTACTACCGATACATTGCCGAATTTGCTGAAGAGGAATCTAAGAAAGAGGCATCTGAGAAGGCAAAGGATGCCTACAATGACGCCTACCAATGCGCCAAGGAAAATATGGTTCCTACGCACCCTAATCGCCTTGGATTAGCTCTCAACTACTCCGTGTTTTACTATGAAATTCTCCAATCTCCTGATAAGGCGTGTTCATTGGCTAAGGAGGCGTTTGATTCTGCCATCGCTGAACTCGATAACCTCAATAAGGATGATTACAAAGACAGTACATTGATTATGCAGCTTCTCCGTGATAACCTTACGCTCTGGACCTCGGACGCCGATGGTGGATATAATGATCAAGAGCCAGAACAAGATTAATTCCCAGCTTATTTTAAATTGACATTTGATGCTAAAACATTGAGAAGTTTTTAACCGAGCTTTCAGATGCTCCTGTCCATTTCAACGTACATTTATAGGGTACCTCAAGTGTGGTCTAGTTGATTCGTCAATCATTGTGCTTTTGGTACAAAGAATTCTGGAAACCTATTTAATTTTTATTGTAGACTGCTTTTTTGTCCTTGTGTATCCGTAGTTTTTATGTGTTCTTTCTTAAGATTGAGATCTCAGCCTTGCCTTTTTGCTGTGTAATTTCCATGTTTAGGCTTCGTCTAGAAGAGATTCCTACACGATTATCTTTTAATGGCTAATTTTGTCAGTTGACATCTATTTGACACCCCTCAATTATTTATTAGACTCTTCTGTACATTCATTCTCCAATCATTTGTCCTGTTTGACGACAATGTGCGATACAGTTTATTACCAAAATAAGGGTTGAATTTTTACATGAATAAATCCCATGTTGTGATTTTCTAAAGGATTGCTTGATGCAGTTTTTAGGACTAATAAGCATGTTTGTCATCCAAAAAATCATTGCGGATGTAATACTCCCAAAATTTGTTAAGTAGCTTTGATAATGTGGAATCTAACACTCAAATTTCTTTTATTTATATATTTCAATAATGTTGGATGTAAAACTCCATTCTATTATGATTGAAAAAGGATGTAAAACTCTCCAAACTGTTCTAGACAGTAAGATATAAAACCGAATTGTTAAATAACAAACATAAAAGGCTATTATTCAAACTTGCGAATATAAATTTGAATTTTAAAGGTTATCGTATACCATATATTGCAGCTTAAGTCATTACTATCTGAATATTCAATCTCCCTGAATGTTAATATTAAACTTTTCTCAATCAATATCTACAGGCATTTATTGTTTTGTTTTGCAACTTTGCTGATTTTTTTGTGTGATATATTTTTTTCGTTTTTTAATCTCTGATCTTTTTGTCAAACTTTTTAATGTCTTGATGACAAACACTCACGATGTATGATTAAAATTCTGTAGATCAGTCATACTTTGTCAAGGAAAATTTGATATCGAAATTAAGATTTTGTAAGCTAAACAGAAAGAGGAAAGTTAGATAAATCCAAGCCATATTGCAATAGTTAAGTCACATGACATAAAGCCAACAAAATCAATAAGGTAGACATGAGTCTTATAGGTACCCTGAATCGGAAAAATAAAAAAGAAATGATAACACAGGTATCTGTGAAAGAATAAGCACACTCTGCCTATGAAAGAATATTTAGAACTGTTAGTTCTTTCAGATCAAGCTCTTTTATTAATTAGATAAAAGTAATTAGTGACTGGTTCATTAGTCTAAAATCTTCCTATTAATTATGTCACTGATTATTGTTGGCATAAGTTGGTGAAGTTATATAACAGGCTTAAAGAACATCTGCTCTGATATTCTTTAATTTGGGTGTGGACTATAGTTAAGTCAGATAGAGTGTGTCAATCTTATGACATTATTGCTTGAGTAATTCATAAAAATGGTCATGAATTTGGGTGGGGACTATAGCTCAGTCAGCTAGCGTGTTTGAATCTTGTGACATCATTGCTTGAGTATGTCAAAAAAAATGGTCATGAACTTTTATATTTGTTAGCTTGTGGTCAGAATTGCAATTAAGAATTAAAATGGTTATGTCCAATAAAAACTTTATGGCTATTGGGTCAAATGAGATCATTTTTCTATGCCAATGCCAAATATGCAGGGTCAACTTTTTAAGATAATTGTTAATTTTTTATATATCTTTATCGTTTTTTTTGTCTAACTTTGCTATCCATTGTTTTATTTTGTGTTGAATTTATGTACATGTAATGTATTTCTAGCCTTCATCCATTTTGTAGAGAATGATATAGCTTGCACAGTACGCTGATTTTTGAAATGTTTTCACCTGAGTTAACACAACTCCTCAAGCCATTTACATACCAGATATATTAAAATACATGTTAGGGCATGTCTAGGGTTGGCTCATTTCTTTATACATTTGGATCTACTTGGTAAATGTTACTACAGACTAAATCCAGATTTTAAATACAGTAATCTGATTGGATAAAATAACTAAATTTTTAATCAATTTTAGTGATTGACCAATCAGATAACTTGATCACTAACATCATCACAAGTTAAGTTTACAAGAATAAGTCCCTAGATCTCTGTTAGTTATTATTGACAGAGGTCAGTCTGAAACTTACTGACTCTATATCTGATCTCTAATAGTTATCCAGAAACAATCATTTAACAGAGACTGGGCAAGCATCAGAAAGTTGGCTCATAGTCTTCTTGTTAAATTTGATGGCTGAATTTGGTGTTTTGCAAATTTTAAAGCTTCCATTACCACTATTAGAAATTTTGTCATCTTTAGTTATGTTTGTGTCCATCTTCCCAAATTAAAACTGCAATATTGAGCTAACCGCAGAATGTCACTTTACATTTTAGGAGAGAAAGGGGCATCCTTTTATTCGTTTATTTTATACACACCTTTCAACTTATATTCCTTGTTTTTTTTATCCCTATCTCATATTTTTAGGTCTGTGTTTTTATTGCATCTTGTGTAGATATATATTATGTACACACATTACTAGGTATAATCAATTAAATGTTATAGACTACCATATTCTTGTTCTTTTTCGGGGCCGTAATTTCTTCCTCTTTACAATGTCTAGCTATTATGAACTTTGTCTTATACCTTTACTGGTATAGCCACTTTTCTTGTATATTCACAATGTCTAGCCATTACGAACTAGTCTTATACCTTGACTGGTATAGCCACTATTCTTGTATCTTCACAATGTCTACCTATTACGAACTAGTCTTATACCTTGACTGGTATAGCCACTAGTCTTGTATCTTCACAATGTCTACCTATTACGAACTAGTCTTATACCTTGACTGCTACAGCCACCTTTCTTGTATCTTCACAATGTCTACCTATTACGAACTAATCTTATACCTTGACCCTTGACTGGTATAGCCACTATTCTTGTATATTCACAATGTCTAGGCATTACGAACTTTGTATTATATCTTGACTGCTATAGCCACTATTCTTGTATCTTCACAATGTCTACCTATTACGAACTAGTCTTATACCTTGACTGCTACAGCCACCTTTCTTGTATCTTCACAATGACTACCTATTACGAACTAGTCTTATACCTTGACCCTTGACTGGTATAGCCATTATTCTTGTATATTCAAAATGTCTAGCCATTACGAACTTTGTATTATATCTTGACTGCTATAGCCACTATTCTTGTATCTTCACAATGTCTACCTATTAAGAACTAGTCTTATACCTTGACTGCTACAGCCACCTTTCTTGTATCTTCACAATGTCTACCTATTACGAACTAGTCTTATACCTTGACCCTTGACTGGTGTAGCCACTATTCTTGTATATTCACAATATCTAGCTATTACGAACTAGTCTTATAACTTGACTGCAAAAGCCACTATTCTTGTATTTTCACATTGTCTAGCTATTATAAACTTTGTCTTATATCTTGACTGCTACAGTCACCTTTCTTGTATCTTCACAATGTCTAGCTATTACGAACTAGTCTTATTACGAACTAGTCTTATACCTTGACTAGTATAGCCACTATTCTTGTATCTTCACAATCTCTAGCTATTACGAACTACTCTTATACCTTGACTGGTATAGCCACTATTCTTGTATCTTCACAATGTCTAACTATTACAAACTTCATCAAGGTATAAAAAGCTGTTGGTTATGGCTTGATATTGTGAAGACACCATTTCCTCAGGATATCTTCCAAGCTACTACTTGGTTTGAGATAAACATCACAAGGAAATTTTATTAAGAAAATATCTCCTTGACGATTTTCTAGAAATTTCCTTACATGGCAATCTTTATCATGTTATCTTATTAGAGCAGTAAAGAATTTGCTATGGGTTAATTAGGTCTGGAAAATCAAGACTCCTTTGAGCATGCGCACTAGACACCGCTATTTTATAAAGTGGATTATGTCCCTTGCAGTAAAGTGGGTTGGGCAGAGTTTAATCATTATAGAAAGCTCGTCATTGACATTTATGTCATTTCTCGGAATCTAAATAAATGACTCATTATTACGCCGTTTGTTTATTGACTAAGGGTAGACACATTACAGGATTAGTCTCTTTTTAAGAACGTTAATGCTAAAGCTAAGCCGGTTTAATTAAAACCACCCTTGCACCACTCTCTAGTTTGTCCCAAAAAGGCTAGCCTAGTTTAGTTCCTTCCATTTGAGTCTTTTAAATGGGATCGTTACGTATCCCTCGACAGTAGGAATTGGAATAAAAAAAAAGGCTAATAACTTTCGAAATTTTCAACTTTGCTTGACGTTGCCCTTTCTTCAGTATCCCAAACTGTACCATGGCCAAAACCGAAATATCGACCAGTCGCCTTTGGATTTTAAGAGTCCAAAAGATCGCCGACTTTAATATCCACAGAGCATGATAGTTCATGTTGAACAACGATGCTCGTTTAGTTAGTTATATATCTTAAGATTTCGGACAAGGCTGTCCTAGCGGGCTTCTTCTCGACAGCAGTCCCCCCCCGCCCCCCTTTTTTTTTTTTACCGAAGGTCACTTAAGTGTTCAAAAATTTTAAATTGTTTGCAGGGGTGCCTTCCCTATTTGTACAGAATTGTCTTCCTGGTTTTAACCATTTAATTCCAAAATCCAAATCTAATGTAGTCAATTGTAGTCTGTATGTTGTCAAACAGCAGTTGCTTCCCTTTAGTCCAGACAATTCTAAAAAAATGTCTTGCTTGAATTTTACATGTATAGCTTAGATGACGAGGTTCCGTGGTTTAAAGGTATAAATTGAAATAACTTATCCCCCCCCCCCCCCTCCAATAAATCTGGTCCCACAGTTTTGATATGTTTTCATTGACTTATAAATGCTCCCCAAGCCCCCCCCCCCCCCCCCCCC